ACCTTCAGGGTGGATATAGCTCGCTAGCAGCCTCGCACCGATGACCTAGTTGATGTCATCATTTACCCAGAAGGCTTTGCGTGTAAATAAAATGGCTCCGTTCGTGTAATATATTTTTAAATGTTTAGTTTAAGAATTATAAAAACTGAACATCCTACAGTATTTTTAGTCTTTATTTTACAGTTAAATTATATGTTTATCATATAAAGTATAGTGTTACAACTAATCGGGGATCACTTTAAGTTTAGTTTATTTAGTGAAACTAATTTTACTGAACATGGCTCTGTCAGTCCTAACTCAGTCCCTTCTGCTCCATCCTGTAACAGTAGCGACCTCTGGTGACAAGGAGCAATTAATGACAACCAAACAGAATAATTAATGCATTCACTGCAAACTTAAAGGCTGATTTATTCCATGGAGGAAAGAGAGAAGTGTTAATTGCAATTGTTAGGTTTCAACACTCTCTCCCAAATACCTAAATAAAGCTTCTCACAGTAGTTTGCTGGAATTTTGTCTCGTTCACCCTGACAGAACTGCTGGAACTCAGGTTTGTTGGCTTCTTTGCTCACGCTTCTGAGCCTTAAAATGTGTCCACAAGTRTCTAACCTCTCATTGTTTCCAAAGCCACGGCATCATGCTCATCATCTGGGCTTTAAAAGCACACTAATCTTAGTTTATTCAAGGTGTGTCTGAAACAAACTGATGAGTGCCCCTGTGTGGTTTCCCACTTAGGAGTCATTGCAAAAGACTGTTTTATTTTGTGTGGGTTTTCATGTGTGTGTTTAGATTGACCTTTTGAGTAAACCTTCGATCACACAACTCACAACTAAATGGTTTTTCTCCTGTGTGGACTATCATGTGTCTGTTCAAATGGGCCTTTTCGGTAAACCTTTGATCACACAGCTCGCAACAAAACGGTTTCTCACTTGTGTGGATTCTCTTGTGTCTGTACAAACTGCCACTGTTGTTGAACTTTCGATCACACACCTCACAACAAAACGGCTTCTGTCCTGTGTGGATCCTCATGTGTCTGTACAAACTGCCACTGCTGCTAAACTTTTGCTCACACAGTTCACAACAAAACGGCTTTTGTCCTGTGTGTATTCTCACGTGTGCGTCTAAACTGCCCTTTGTGGTAAACCTTCGATCACACAGCTCACAACAAAATGGCTTCTGTCCTGTGTGGATCCTCGTGTGTGCGTCTAAAGCGCCTTTTGTGGTAAATTTTTGGTGACACAACTCGCAACAAAACAGCTTTTGTCCTGTGTGGATTCTCATGTGGGTGTCCAAACTGTCTTTTCTGGTAAACCTTCGATCACACAACTCACAATTGAATGGCTTTTGTCCTGTGTGGACTATCATGTGTGTGTTTAAATGTCCCTTTGTAGTAAAACTTCGATTACACACCTCACAACAAATTGGCTTCTGTCCAGTGTGGATTCTCATGTGTGCGTTCAAATAACCCTTTGTAGTAAAACTTCGCCCACAAAAATCACAACCAAACAGCTTTTTTCCATTTTTGGTGTTTTTTACACCTGATTCAGAAACCCTGCTGGGAGGAGACTCCCAGTCTTCATCAGTGTCTTTTGATCCAGAGTCTGCATCGTCCTGCAACTGAGAGTCAGGATTGTTCACATCATTGTCCTCTTCATCATCTTCACTGACTTTAGATTTAGAGTCAGAATCATCTTCATGAGTACTCAGATCTTGGTTTCCTGTAGTTTCTGCTCCTCCACAGGACTCTCCACCAGTTGTTGATTCCAGGTTGTCAGCTGAGCTGCTGGTTGGATCAACTTGGTGTTGATGAAGCTGTAAGAACTCAGGTTTATCTTCATCATCCTCATGCTTCACAGGCTTTGCAGTGAATGAAAAGCTGGTGTCATCAGTCTCCTCCTTCACACTGAGCTGCTCTTCTCCCAGACCAGTCCACAGTTCCTCCTCTTCCTCTTTTATGTGGAGGTGTTCTTGGTAATGCTGGTCCACATAAGGACTCTGTTCTTCAGGAGGTTCTTCTTTAATTTGCACCAACTGATCACCTCCAGGGACCACTGAAACACATGAACAGTACATTAAGGAGAACTCTAGCTAAGGGCTGTGCGGTATGTGGTAGAAATTTATACTCTACCGTCCTATCATCATTACGTCATCACACCTGTGTCAACAGGGTTGCGAGTGCAGAGACAACTGAGCAGGAGTTTGAAATATAAAGAAGAAATTCTAGTGTTTTAAAACACGTATAGAGAGAATAATTCGTCAAAATTTCCTCCTCCTGCTGTGGAAAAGTTACGTCGTATCGTGGGATCATAATCTCCCCCTCCCTCCTGCTCCACGTCGCGCAGAGCAAAGCTTTAACATCCATAGTTTTTCACAYCCAACTGTCGGAGAAAAAAATTGTTTTTATATATTGTTACCCACAGAGATTATTTAAAAAAAAGACGTGGACGTTCGCTGTATAGCAGGCAGATATTAAAGCAAAAATGTTACGTTTTATTAAGATTACAGTTTTCTGCAAAAAAAAAACCCCTCTAAAAATTACATTTTCTTTACTTTCTATAATTTTTTACCACGATATATACCGTTACCGTGAAGGGATTCAATTTATACCGTGATGTGAATTTGAGCTTATACCGCCCAGCCCTCCTCTAGCTTCATATTCACACATACATCTCTTGTTTCAGGGCTCTAGACTAATGTTTTGCACTGGTTGCACTGGCACGCCTAACATTTTTCCTTAGGTGCACCAGAATAAAGTTAGGTGCACCCAAATTTGCAAATGCATCACATTTACCATTGATGTTTAAATGGTTCACTTTTTTAAAATCATTGTCCATTAGGGAAATATTAACTCACAAATAATTTGTTAACAATCTAGCAAAATTAAATTTCTACATTTGAACCAGAATCACAGACATATAACTTATTGAAAAGTCATTTTAAAGTGATTCTATGACCTGAAATTTTAACTTAAACATCAAGATCAATGAAATGAAAGAAATTCTAAATTCTAAGTGCAAATGACCACCCCCCTGAAGTCCCGAAAGAGGGTCAAAAGACCCTTAGTCCAAACGGACAATTCTGATGGCTCCAATTAGCATCCTTTCATTTGTAAATGTGGCTATTGCCTTAGGAATCAGCAGGGGACAAACCCCCTCCTTCTGCTTAACAATATGAGACATACAAACATCTTTCTTTGTTGTAAAAACAAAACGTATAGACAACGTTGTCGACACGATGTTGTCGTCAACATCGTCGTCAACACTGTCAACATCTTCGTCGACATCGTCGTCAACGTAGGTGCAGAGTTTTGGGCCAAAGGGGAGATATGTAAGGGCACAGTTTTGGGCCAAATGGGGGATATCTAGGGGTACAGTTTTGGGCCAAAGGGGAGATATGTAGGGGCACAGTTTTGGGCCAAATGGGGGATATCTAGGGGTACAGTTTTGGGCCAAAGGGGAGATATGTAGGGGCACAGTTTTGGGCCAAATGGGGGATATCTAGGGGTACAGTTTTGGGCCAAAGGGGAGATATGTAGGGGCACAGTTTTGGGCCAAATGGGGGATATCTAGGGGTACAGTTTTGGGCCAAAGGGGAGATATGTAGGGGCACAGTTTTGGGCCAAATGGGGGATATC